TGAAGACACAAAATTCTGGGTTTCCTCCGCATTTCACTTTCCAGAATTCCCTCTTCTTTCCTTCCATTTGTTCATCGAATTGAAAATGTTGGCATAGAATGTTTTTTTCTCACGTAATAGCTACATAAGAATTTGGCCGTCCACATTGATCATTGGGGCAACTGGCAACCTTGTTCTTATCCACTTACTTTAGAATTCAATTAATCTGCCATTTGAATTCCAGCACATGGTTCTACTTCTTGCATACATCCATGAATTCCATCGCATGCTTGCTGAAGATCTCAGGAAGTTTATTTCCAATTTTATAAAAGATTTAACATTGGAATGAAGCCTTTCTTCGCTTCCATCAGAAAAATTTATTTATCAGTTCATGTTCTTGTATACGTGTCAATTGTTTTTGCCACACATCAGTAGATTTAAGGCACTATTGGTGTTGATAATCAGGTGGAAAGTTATTTGGTGGGAGAAATAGAATGAGTGAAGCCTCTGCTTGCATCTCTTGGCAGCTGCAGATGCTCTAACTCGCTTACCTGCAAAGGAAATCATTAACTCATGAATGTTTAAGAAGAAAAGTGGTTTAAAACAAATAAGCTGAATCAAATGGGTTTAATTCTTTTCATTACTTCCTGAATCAATAATAGTCAATACGATGATGATCTATTTCTACAAGAAAAATAATCAAGTTAAAAAACAATGATGATGCCTGTCATAAAATTTAACATTCCCCACCTGCACCTGTTAAATATAAACTCTTATCTTTTTCTCAGCAAGTATGGATTGAGTCAGAAGATCAACCTATAATGCAGCCTTTGGTCCCAAGGCAATCTGTAGGTCTTGTGAAAACATCTCCTGAATTTTCTCAATGAACTTGAGCATAGTCTTTTGGCCTTTCTCATCTGTTACAATTAAGCAAGGTGAAAATGAGAAATAAGATTACTGGATTTGCAACCTTGAACCTTGAGAGTTGAAACATATTGCTATGGTGAAATAGGTTCTTTTCTCTTTATTTTTTGAGAGTAAAGTTTTGTGGTTGAAATTACCAACCCGGAGTTTTGGGTACGGTGTGCCCCATTGAATGATGAATAAGCAAAGGGCTCTACAAATGTTTTAGTAGCTTAACCCCCGTTCCTTCAGGAAATCCTTGTCTCCTGATTAAGAAATTGACATTTTCAGACAACAATGGAGGATTTGCAGGTTCCTAAAACTAGCTCCTATTATTATTTTTCTTTGTGGAATCAAAAGTCGGAATAAAGAAACTATACATGCAAATGATAAACAAACAATCATTAGCAATGCAGAAATACAATTTGCATCAAGAAACAAGAGTTTAAAATTTGTTCCTAAGAGTAAAAACTGCAAAATTTAGAGTAGCACCTTTAAAGTGTCAGGCTCTAAGAATCGTAGTCATTACCGTCACAAATTTTCCAGCTAAAATGTGATTGACTAGATCTTACTTTCTTAAGGTGTAGTTTAATTTGTTCATCTTTCCAGAAGATTATCTTGAGATTGAATCAACTTTGTGCAACTTTTCTATGGAAATTAAGATAAAGAATATAGAAATGTGTTGCCAGGGTAAACCATAAGTTTCTTCAGCATCCTAAAGTTCAAAAGGTTTCAAGAGTTAAACAACAAAGGTTTTTTGAGGAATACATGGACTCCTTTTACTCAAATGGACTCAGTTTAGACCGCTTTCAGTCTAGACTATCAGCTTAACCACAAAAGTCCCTTGCATTCTGTACTCTATAGCTAATATTATCAAATAAAAAAAAAATTCTAAAGCTTATGCCAAAGTTTGTTGTACTCGGATGCTTTAAGAATTCAGTTACTGTAAAGCTTTAAAGATTCATACAAATTTACAATTTATTTGCCAAAAAAAAACTGTTGCAGCTTAGAGACTGCTAGGTCTCATGTCAGCCAATAATTGAAGGTAGCAACTGTACTCTTTTGTGGTATCATAACTAGCATTGGAAGGTCCTCTGCTTCTAAATTATTACTAACAAAAAACATATTATTGCCTTTTTGCTTTGGATGAGAATGCAAAATTTGCAGCTAATAAAAAACAATAATTCTTCTTTGCCTTCTCCATGATCTAAAGCTCTTATCGAAAATTAAGCTGGCTTATGTGCTGTCCTCTTTCGTTTTCCAAAACAATAAAGATTATGTTAGTATTTAGCTTCTTTCTAGTTCAAATCTAGATAATATCTGTAGCATTTTTTATTGAAGTTTACTTTTTTATATTTAAAACAATTAAATTTAACGCAAAAGTTCTTTTAAAAATACAAGGTAAAAAGTATTTATATGTTTATATAATATGACTTTGTATATAAATACGATCTCACTGAGTATTAGTCGTTATACATACCCGTTGTCTCATTTTTTTCCCCTCGTTTTGTGCTGGGTTTTTTATGCTCTGCAACTTTCCTTGCTGCTTTTTTTGCAGCTACTTGTTAACTTATTAGCAGGCTTAGTCTAGCAGGCTCAAGATCAATGAAATGCAAATGGGAACTTTGGTAACCCAAAATGTACTAGAACTAGATGAGGACAATTAAAATTACAAAAATAAGTCCTCAACTTACCAATCATGTGAAGAGATGGGCACTCAACTGGAGCTGAAAATGCATTAACAAGCAACTTAGGCGGCCCAGACTTCAATTCTCGAAGTGCAAACCCTGATATTACGACCACAAACTTTATCTTTGGCACTTTTGTGAAGGCAACACCCTGTAATCAAAAATTCAAAGCACACCAGTCAGTAACAAAATATCCTCATCCTGATTGTCAGAGTAACTTCAAAGAACTTTTCAAGCTTCTCTGACCAAAAAGGGGCATACCTCTCTTTGCATCCAAGGCAATACAGATGCTAGCATCCGCCCTGAAATTCATGAAATTGGCCAATTATTGATGTTTAATGAGAAAACTGAAAAGAGTATTATACGAGATTTTAAGTTTCAATTATTTTACCTGGGAAAAACCCAGTAGACCATCAAAGGGACCATGCTTAATCATATAATCTTCTATATATGCAATACACTCCTCAAAATTGAAACACTCCACCTGAACATAAAAAAGTAAAATAAAAGGAAAAAGTAGTGTTGTTCATTTTCCATTTCATTACATGGCGATAGCCATTCATCAATAGATATTAAGCTGAATGATCAAACCTTGTTGACTTGATACCATTCATAATAGGGAGGATCATAAAGGCCTTCAATATCAGATTTTCCCTTGGCAGGAAATAGGGCGTCAGGAAAATCAAAATCAAACTTTTCGAGCACGGCATCAGGCCATTTTCCCATCATTTTCTTCAGGATTTCACCGCTTGTTCTGAATCCATGGAGGCATAGAATTCTGGGTTTCCTACTCCGCAATTGACTTCCCAGCATTTCCTCTCCTGTGCCACTATTTGCTGGATGATTTTAATATTTTACAACACAAACAATCTATGAATAGAATATTGAAGATGTTGGCCTAGAATCCTGTTCTCTCTAGTCCACGCTATCACGGTGTGGGCGGCCACTAAGCCTTATCCTCTATGTATAAATTTTGCTCATGTACTTGAGCACATTTCTGAATATTCGTGCCACGTGTCATTTAATGGTTGTTTTGCTTTTTCAAATTTTTTTCTGATTTTATTTTTTCCTATTTTTTAAATAATTTTATAAATATTTTCAAAGATTTAAATTTTTTTTAAAAGTGGAATCCATTTTATCAAACTTTTTTTCCTTTTTTACCATTTTCTTTTAAAAAACTATAAATATTTTTATTTTATTATTTTACGGCTTTTACTCTTTTTACGGATTTGGATTAGATGAAACCAAAACCAATTGAGGTGTAAAGACTGAAGCCACATCAAAAATGATAAGGCTGCGAAGCGTCATAAATTTATGAGTCGGGAATTAATTATTAAGGAATTATTATTTTGATTTTTTTAATATGTTTGGAGAAATCTCATTTTTATTCAAATTAAAAAAAAAAACATTTGGATGCATTTAATATTTTAATTCTGAATTAATCATAAAAAGATGAAATCTTTACTAGTAAAAAATTAAATGAACTTATGCTATTAAGGGATTAATATGCAGTTTGTGAGAGAAATTAAAGGATTTAATGTTATAATAGCAAATATTATTAATATTGAGTAATTAAAGGCATTTTGTTAAGTCGTAAATCTTTTTTTTTTTGAAACATACATCATTTAATGTTTAGTAAATTGATTTAGTAAAATACATGATAAAATCTTATTTGATTTAAATAATTTGTTTAAAAATAGAATTTGATTTAATTTTTAAAATTTTATAATTTAAACTTGAAATGGCATAAATCCAATTAATTTAAGTGTTAAATTTAATTACTTAAATGATTTAATTATAAAATAACTTCAATTTAAAATAATTTGAAATTGAGATAAGCTGAATCCTAAATAATCTAAAAAAATAGACACTAAGGCATAATAACATTAACCTAAAGGGTCTCAATATGATAAAATCAAATTATTTAAAATTGAAAGATGAATCAAAGAGGAGTCCAATATATTTTTAAAGTTGGGTTCGGGTTAAATTTAAGTTTTAGATTACAACATCTCAATCCAATCTAGGTATATATAAAATATATTTTTAATTACTTATTTTATTTTATATCTTACATATAAATTTTGCTCATGTACTTAAAGCACAGTTCTCAACTTTACAGTGTCACGTGGCACTCTTCCTCTTCATTTTTTTTTTTTTTTTTTACATTTTTTGGTTTTTTTTCACAATTTTTTTTATTTTTTTCATATTTTAAAAAATAATTTTGTAAATATTTTTGCAGATTTAAATTTTTTTAAATGTGGGATCTACTTTATCAAGCTTTTTAAAATAAAAAAATTAAATATTTTTTATTTTATTATTTTATGAGACTCACTTCATATCATGATAAAATAACATTAACCTAATGGATTTTTATCCGTTCTGGTCCGATTATGTGAAATGTTTTTAAAATTGGAAGACAAGTCAAAAACAAGTTTGAAAATTTTTTTATGATTAGGTTCGAGTCAAAGTTTGGTTTTAGGTTGTATTGTCTCGACCTGATTCAAGTATATATAAAATAATTTTTTTATAATTTATTTTATTTTATATTTATATATGTTATATTAAAAATTTTATTATTTAATATTTTAATTTAAAATATTAATTTAATAAAAATATTATATTTATATATAATTAAAAAATATATTTTATATTAAAAAATAATATTTTATAAATCTTATAATAATTAAAATTATTAAATTAATTTTGAATCAAATCAAAATTAGATGTTAATATTAAAAAATCGAACAAAAACTCATTTTGACCTTATGCCATCCTAAGGGTAAGTTGTGTGTTTTTTTTTTCAATAATTTTTATTTTTATATATTTAATAAATTTAATAAATTTAATACTTAAATTCTTGTTTGTGTACTTAATCGCGATTCAACTTGTCGGCAGCTTTTTTTTCAACTTTTTTGTTTTTTTTTTTTTTGCTTTTTTCTGTTTAAAACTTTTTTTTACTTTTAACCTTTTAGTTATTATTCTCTTTTTTTGTTAATTTTACTTTTAACTTTTGCTTTTCTATATTTAACAAATATCTTTAATGATACTTTTAAATTTTCATGGGACCCATTTGGTACCAATTTTTTTATTTTTTACTTTTTCAAAAATATTTAATAAATCTCTTTTAGATTTTTATTTTTTATATTAAGATCCACTTTATACCAAAATATGTATGTTATTATTATTTTTTTTAACTTGTTTCTACTTTCTTCAACTTAAGGTACGTCACATGCCACTTCCTCGTCCTTCATTTTTTTGTTTTCTTTGATTTTTTAAATTATTTTCATATTTCTTAAAAGAATTATAAATATTTTTAAAATTTTAACTTTTTTAAAGGTGAGACCCACTTTACCAAGCTTTTCTCCTTTTTTTTCTATTTCTTTTTACTATTTTCCTTTTAAAAATAACTATAAATATTTAAAAATTATAAAAAAATTTAGTAAATATTTTTTGAAAAAGTAAAAAAAGAAAATATCTAAGAAAAAATTCTTTAAAATATTTAATAAATCTTTATTTTCCTTTTTATACATTTAATAATTCCATTACTTAAATTTTTTTCATGTACTTAATTAGGGATCTATGTGTCGCCATTGTATTTTTTTTTTTGTTTTTTATTTTTAAATTTTTTACTTTTATTTTTTATTTTTATTGCATTTTTTACTTTTTTAAAAGTTTTTTTGTTATTTTTACTTTTAAAATTATCTTTTTATATTTGAAAAATATTTTAAATGATTTTTTATTTTTTATAAGAATCACTTGGTACCAAAATTTTCTTTTCTTATTTTTCTTATTTTACTTTTTAAAAAATTTAATAAATATTTTTTAAATTTTAATATTTTATGAGTGATATCCACTTTATCCAAAGATATGGCACTTTTTTTTTTCATTTTTTTACTTTTATTTTTTTTAAAACATTTACTATATAATTATTCATATTTATTTTTTATGCCACTTAATACCAATAGCATGTCATATGTTAAGCCTATTAATTTTTTTCTTTATTTACATTTTCTTTTTACTTTCTTTTATTTGATTAACATTTTAAAATATTTTAAAAATTTTAAACATGGGACCCATTTTATCTAACTATTAGAAAGGTTTTTTTTTTGTAATTTTTTAGTTTTTGCTTTTTAAATCCATTATATAATTTTTTGAAAAAAAAAAATTTATCATTATTGATATAGCGGGGGCAACTCAACTTTTTCCTTTTTTCTATTTCTGCTTTTTGTCTTTTTTATTTTTTTTTCTTCCTCTTTTTTTTTCTTTAAATTATATCATTTTGTAGAAAAAAAATAAAAAAAAAATATGTACACGTTGTACCCAATTTTATTTTTTACCTTTCATTTTTTTTTTTTTTTGCATCTTTTAACTTCTTTTAAATATTTAATACATTTTTAGAGGGTGCCACGTGGCACTTTATCACTTCCCTTATTTTTTTTAATATTTAGAATAATACTTTTTTAATTTATTTATATATATTTAATAAATATTTTTTATTTTGATTTTTACCCACCTTGATATCAAGTACTACCTTTTTTAAAAAAAAATATTAAATATGTATTTCAAAGATTTAAATTTTTTGCTGTTGGACTTTAATTGATATTAGAGGTCTGCCACGTTTTTTGATTTACTTAGTCACTAAGGATATGCCACAGTATTAAGTTATTTCTTTTTTTTTTATTTTTTTAAATAACTCATTTTTTCATAAAAAGAAATTGGCGAATAAATTTTTTGAAGAAAAAATGTGAATGGAAGTATGAATAATAAAACAACCGTATGCAGTGAATTTTTATTTGTTTGATCCACTAAGTACATTTTTTTGTTTGCAATCAGATCAAGTTTTTTTTTTTAAATTAGGGTTAGGTTTTATCGTAACGATTTTAAATACTACTAAATGAAAATTTTAAACAAAAAGAAGTTGTCATTAATTTTTTTTGATTAAGTGTGATTGGTCACCTATTAAAACAAATATTTTTAATAAAATCTTAAAATTAATTAAAATTTTATTAAAAAAATAATTATTGGGTCTGCAAAAATAATTTGAGTTTGAGAGTCGGTTAAGTGTAGAGAATGATTAGCTTCACAATACCTATTAACAAATAGCACCAATTAATTATGTGTTATCTTTTAATTTTGACAAAATATCTTAATTTTGCTATTTAAAAATCAAGTTACTTAATTTTTCTTATTGTGAAAAAAACATTTTTTTTCAGCTATTGGCTTGAAAAATAAATAAGAATATTGCATATTGAAAAATCTTTAAAAATATTTCAATATTCTGATAATATTAAGAAAATTTTCTCACCTAAAGAATTTTTAAGAATTACTGCTAGTAATTCTTAAAAATCCTATTTTCAGTGATTTATATTTATATTCAATATTTATATTTACCAAGCATATTATAAAATATGATATCTATAATTTAAAATCAAATAATGCTTTATTAAAATTAATTTCTTATAGTAAAATGAGAAATCGTTATAAAAAATTATTCTAAATGTTTCCAAGTATTGGTGTCATTTTAAATAAATTTTCTTAGTTTGAGACTTATAAAGAATCGCTATTCGAATTTCTTTAAGATCTTATCTTCGAATATTTCATTTACTTTTATAATTGGTATATATAAAATATAATGCACATAGATTACTTTGTGATGCTATTGCATTGTATAAAAGTTTGTTTTTAGAAATAAAAAGTAAACGAGAGTCTTTTTGGTATTGAAATTCATTCTAAATATTCAAATACTTTGACAATATTTTTTGAAAAAATTTTTCACTAAAAAATTTTCAAGAATCACTAGTTGAATTTTTTGGAATCCTATCATCGAAAACCGTATTATTTTCAAGATTACATAATGCTAACGACAAATGCATATGCATACAAAAAATCTTCTTTTTTTATTTTTTTTTACTTTGTATCTTATTATATTTTATTACCTTTTTACCGCTTAAAAAAAAAACCTATTGCTTATTTTTCTTAGGTTATATCTTTTTCGTTATTTGCTTAAATGTTATCTTAATCATTTAATTGTTTCATAATTATTATTATTAATTTTTTATAAATGAACAAAGTAATGAAAATCTTTTTATTGAAATTTTTTCTCAACACCTCAATACTTTGTTGATATTTTAGAAGAATTTTCTCACCTATAATTTTTTAAAAAATCTCTACTCGAATTTTTTTAAAATCTCATCTTCAGAGATTTTTATTTTCATTTTGTCCCTTCCTTTTTTTATTTTATTTTTACTATAATTCTAATTTTTAATTTTTATGATTATAAAATTTTTTAATTTTTTTTAGAAAATAAAAATAGTTAATTATAATATTCAGGTATAATTATATTAATTCCATTACTAAATATAGTCATTTTTCCTTTTCATTATTTCCCTCTTTTATATATCATCAATTAATTGTAAATACAATTGTAAGAAAATAAATGAATGAAAAATCTTTTCACTCAACGAGGAAATACTTTTTTTTCTTTCAATTAGCTTTCTTTATCATATATTAAAAGGTATAAATTATATAAAATATTAATTCTTATATTTTGTAAGAAATATTTGTAAGTTTTTTATTTTTACCTTTGACTTTACACTAAATCATGTAATTTTTTTCTCTCAATTAAACTTTTTTACAATATGCAAAAAGACTTTCATTATTTGCTTGATTACATTGATTTAAGCGTGTTACTTATGTCCAAATATTGTTACAAATAACAATAACTAATTAGATTTTGAAATCATATTTTATATATAATATAAAAAGCCCATTGATTAGGATTTTGTTTAAAAATTTATAACTTGCATATTTATGTTTGATTAATGAGTATGTTTCAAAATTTCAAAATAAAAAAAAAAAGTAAATGACTGATATTGAATATAATTCTTCAACTTTATTAGGCAATGGACATTTTCATTGGTTGGATTATAAGTCAGATCTATAATTTTATGCATATTTTTAAGTATGAATTTAAAATATTATTATAATAAAAAATTATTTAATTTTAAAATTGGAATATATTTAACATTATACATTTTAAACATTTTAACCATAAATATAAATTGAATAAGTCATTTGAGTTTGACTTGAAACAAAATCTAGAATTTAGAAATGTTTACAATATGCCACCAAAGTCATAGACATTTCTTAATTTTTTTTAAATTCATATTTTTATATATTGAATGTTGAAGAAAATATCAAATGCTTAATAAATGAGATTCAACTTGAAAAATAATAATAAAAAAGAAATGAATTTAGATTTCAATTTATCCTAATTTTTTTATAACAAAAATGAGTGTTATGACTTTGAAAAGTCTATAGATGAAAAAAAATCTATTAATTATAAAGAATTAAAAATATATTAACAAATTTATCTTATTCAATAATTAATATTCATAAACCCTCTTATTTTCTTTTAAATCTATGAAATGTTATCAACTGAAACAAATATATATTTATATGTATCTATATCTTATAATTTATGTGAATCTACTCATTATCTTTTAATCCATTCAAACATACATATTTATAATTAATATTTTATAGTTTTATGAATATCTACCAATAAAATATTATAACTTTCTTATATTTTTTTAGAAAGTGTATATACTTGGCTACGAAGAATGTTTTTCTTTTAAAATTATTTTTTGTAAGTTTATTTGTTTACAAAATAATTCTAACCAATTTTAAATAAATTTATTATAAAATTTAAATCATTATTTAAAAAAATTTTATTTCTTACCTAACTATGTTTTTTTCTTAGATTTATTTTCGGGTTTAGGTCCTGTTCTTTTGCATTTTTTTTTCTGATGCTTCTCCATATTTTCAAAATAGATTTTGGATAATCAATAAATGGTTGGTTCAATCGATTAGGTTTATCCTCTTCAACGAAAAAATTTTAGATTTGAGTTCTGTCGATGATCATTTATTAGGATTATTTCAAATACACGAATTACAATCACCTATCTTAAACTATTAAATATAATATCTATTACCTTAATTTGAAGAATTAAACAACCTATCTATTTTGAATTTTTTTTTTAAAAAAGAGGTTTCTAATATATTTGGATGATTGAGTATGTTGATGAAGATGATGATGATGTAAAAATGGTAGCTTTGCTGTTCGTAGAGGTACAGCTAGGGTTGGCATCGAGTCGGGTTTGGGGCGGATTTTTTCTCGCCCGAATCCGACTCGACTTTACGCATTAAGATACCTAAATCCGACCCTACTCGAATTTTTTTTTTCATACCCGAACCTGATCCAACCCGATACTATATAAATTGTATCCAACCCGACATCGACCCGAAATTAATAAAATATTATTTTTTAAAATATAAAATATTATTTTTTAAAATAAATATTTAAAAATATCATTATATAAATATATATAAATAAAAAATTAAATAATTAATTAAAAAATAATTTTTTATATAATATCGAATTAAGTCGGATTGGATATACTTAAAATCCGAATCAATCGAACTTTAATTGTTTCATAATATTATCCGACTCGACTCAAAATCTGAAATTAAAAAACAAAAATCGATCTTATAAGATCGGGTTGGATTACCATATCTAGATACAGCTGAATGGTAAAAGTTTGATTACTTTTGATTTTGAGATATTCGATAGGCGGTCACGAAACGCGGTCGTTTCAAACTTTTCCTTAGTCTTCACTCTTGGGCCGAGCTAATGTCACCAACCAATTATCTCGCTGTCGCCCGCCGTACACCGACACCGAACGACAGAATAATGCAGAGTATAAGCGGCGCAGTTCGTGTTTTCCGTACAACCCCATTGGTGGGATCGCTTTGGGGTCGCGGTTCCTGCTCCAATTTATTTGTTGGAGGTCTTGAATTTTCTCACTCCCCTTTTTCCTCTTTCACCTAACGATGACAAATCTGGCTCTGCGCTGAAAAAAAATTTTACATGAAAGTGGTAATTTATTAAATTTATCATTATATAACTGGTTCGTGACAAGTGTTGCTAATTGCAGGCCTTTCATATGATACCAATGAAACTGTTTTGAAGAATGCTTTTGAAAAACATGGTGAAATCATTGAAGGTAATTTTCTTGGATTCTTATTTCCTTCGACATATTTTTGTGTCTTACGAGGTAAAAAAAAATGTTGGGATTTTAGCAGTTAGGGTTATTTGTCATCATGTGAATGGGAAATCAAGGGGGTATGGATTTGTGCGGTTCGCTTCTGAAGCTGCAGCCGACGCTGCTCTTAAAGAAATGCATTCCCAGGTGTGTTTGAAGTAATTAATTCAATAACTCAATTATACCCTATATATTTATTTGTTTCTTTTCTAATAAATGAGCAATTGAACTGAGACTTCATGTTGCATGTTGTGGTTGTTTTTAGGTACTGGATGGTAGAAATAGTAGAGTTGAATATGCACACGAGGGATGATCATTGGTGTTTCTCACCACAGCTTTGATTTCTTCCATGATGGTAGATTTTTTAATTTCAATAATCAATGTAAGAAATTTGATATTATCATTTTCTTTTATATGTTTGATACTTTGATCAGTGAATAACTTAGGTGTATATTGCATTTACATACCTGAGATCTTTGTAATAATTTTGAATTGCTTAGAAATTAATTAAATCTCCCGATGTAGGTTTTGAATCTCCAACCAAATGTTTAATGACCGAAGAGGCCAATACTCCAACTGCATCATGATGTTCTGAAACCTAGTTTGTGTACTGATTTAGCGGGGTGGGCAGAAATACAATTGCTTATGTCTGCTAGAGACACTATTTATTGTTTTTGGAAAGAAATCTGAAAACATATGTGACGCTGTATACGGGAAGTCACTTCTCTGTTTCCGTTGGGTCATTGTGATCAAGTTTATTGTTAGAGCACAAGCTAAATTTTGCAGAGCTTATACGCTTGCCATGTAATGTTTTAACCAATCCATTATTGGGTCCATTGTGAAAGTGTTTTGAGCTTTAGTGTATAAGTTGCATTTAGGAGAGAAATGGGGGAATTTGGGGTCAGTTGTACAGTTTTTGTCTTCACATCCTTGTGATCTGTAATGAACGGTTTTTGCTGCTCATCATCATCTTAGCAACTGTCATTACTAATTTTAGTTTACTGGCTAGGAAGCAGATGAGATTTAATTTCTGTCTATTTTGATTATGTAATGCAGGTAATCTAGTTGTCTCAAAAGTTTGACTGCATCTTTAAGACCATGTTGCATTGCAAGAGGGGACATTAATGCTTCTAGCTCTTGGGATGATTAATTTGAGTTTCACAGTTGAAACATGAACAATGGAACTTTTTCTGAAAAGTTTATCAGTCATAGTTTTGGTTTGGTAGGGATTTGAGGGCATTGAGCTACACTTTGGTGACAGAAACTTAGTGCTACTTGTTCAAGCCCGGATAGTGTTAGTGAAGGGAAAATATCAGGTTAAGAGCTAGTTCTTATTTTTCCTTCTTTTAGCTAATATCTGAGCATTGGCTTTCTGAGTTTCAGGATTTTTACCAGAAAGAAACACCGTGTTGACAAATATATAAATAGCTTGTAAACCTATGTAATGTGTTTAGGGCTAAATGGATGTTCCTCGTGGTCATAGACTTTTCCATTCCAATGTGAAAGGTGAAACATTTTAATTTTTTTCAACTTCGTTTTGACTTTAAAAATATAATTTTTTTCTTTTTTTTTGCGTCAAAATTTACTCTTTTTAGTGATTGATTTTGATGCCTCCTTATAACCAAAAAAAAAAAGAAAAAAAAGTGAAGAGCAGATCCAAGTTATACTGATGGATGTAGCAAGGTCGAAAGATCTGCTAGTGTGTGCAGACCGGTGAGTTGGTTTAGCTATAATTTAAAACACGGACATATTAAACATATCCAATCATTAGTTCTTATCAAAGCTTCTGGTTACTAGACTGTTTTTTCGGCTTGTTGAATGGAGCAGGCACTGCCAAGAAACTTGTAATGTGGAAACCGTTTCGAAAGGTCCTGGATAGTTCTCATGCTGATCGCACAAGTCAGAAGAGATCAACTTGTTGGCCTAATGCATGACGTAAACTAATCATTACTCAACTAGCACCGTTTTGTTGACTTTTGCACGAACCATACTTCTGTCCTCATAGGCCTTTTTAGCCTTTAGAAAAAGGCCAAAATAAATAAATTTTAAAGAAAGCAGTCTTGTTCAATCTGCACAGGATTATATCTTTTGATGGGTCGCCCTCATCCCTCTCTTACTGCTCTCTCTCTCTCTTTTGTAGCCGTGTGGCTATTGCCTATTGGCTCACCTTCACTCTCAGGTTCTAGTCTCAATAAAAGCTACATGACATCTAACATAACGTTGATAATATGATAAAATGATCTGAAAATAATATAAAATAATATAAAAATATATAATTTAAAATTTTAATAAAAATTAAAATATATATTTTATATATTTATATTAAATTATAATATATAATTTTATATAAAGTATAATATAAAAATATAAATCATAAATATTTTTTAATATAATATACTAATTGATAGATTTCATCCTAAATAAATATTGATCTTTTGCTTATAAAAATAATACCAATAAATGAAAATTCCAACATAGATAGAATCCCGAATGTAAAGGCTCCTCCGTCTAACCAAACCAAACTAAATCAAACCGAGCGGGTCCTTAAAGAATGGCCCTGCGATGCAAGTCAATTTCCTGGAAGCGGGGTCGAAGGTTAGTTTAAGATAAAAGGTATTTTCAAAGAGAATAGAACAAAAGAAATCCGAGGGAGCTCATGAAAAAGTACAAGATTATTATCGTAAGGTTGTCCACTTGTTAGCAGACATGTGCCCTCGCTTTGTCTGTGGACCACTCTGTCTTAACAGAATTCGAGGCATGTGACTCATCATATCATTGAGTTTCGTTGAGCTTGAGGTCCAACTCCAGTTAAGTTAATCCTTCGTTGAAAAGGAAACTGAATTTGAGTGTGGTAAGTAGAAATGACAGTATTTTCCATATTTAATAGGAATCTAATTTTTTATTTGAACCAGAATAAAAATAAATATTATATTATGATATAGAGACGAAGATAAATAATATAATATAAATTTATATTATAAATATTTATATATTTAATAAATAATTTTTTAATAATATAATTTATTATTTTAAATTAATTAAAATTAACAAATTTTAATTAAAAAATATATTAATATATATTTATAAAATTATTTAAATATATAATATAAAATTAAAAAATTAATTTTAATTTTAATTTTTAAATTTTAAATATAAAATTATTCATATCTATTAAATATTTTTAAAAATAAAATAAAATAAATTTAAAATATTCATTAAATATAAATATAAATATAAATAAAATAAAATTTATTTATTATATACATATAGAAAGGCTCTATCTTTCTCATCCTGTAAGTAGGGCCGATGTTAAAAGCATAGCTAAAATTTTAAAGTAAAAAAACTGATCAATCCAGGACACTTTTAACTGCTGTACGTATTTGAGCTCATCTATAATTGCAACTCTGTTTTAACTGTTGTACAATTTTTTTATACATACATTTTGTGAAAAAAAAGAATTTTAAATTGATTTTTTTTTTCATTTTTATAATATAATAAAAAGTCTTTTAGATTTTATTTAGGTCTAATCTTTAAATTTTAAATTATGTTAAAACGGTATCCGATCATATTTTAATCTATGTTAACTCTTTTTTGGCACAAAAAATATATTTTCTTACATCGATTTATATATTTAAAATTTTACCTTTAAAATATTTTCAATACTATTCAAACCCTAATTGATCAAAAAAATTTTCTTTTTATTAATTGGATTAATCTTTATAAGGTTTAGCTTTGTAAATATGAGAATATATATTAGCCATTTTTAGTACATAAGATGATGGATAAGATGAAATGATAATTATTTTATATTATATTTGATTTGTATTTAAAAATATATATATTACAAAGAGAATTAATCATCATTTTGATATAAGATGATTTAATCTTTTTAAAATTGAGAGAATTATTTTTAATAAATAAAATTGAATTTACATATCTTATTATAATCTTAAAATTTATATTAATAATTTAAATTATATAAATTTTGAAAAAAAATAATTTTGATCAATAAATAAATTATCTTATCTTAATTATTACATACATCAAATATAAGATATAATGATATTAATTTTGATAAATAAATAAATTATCATATCTTAATTGTTACATATATCAAACATAAGATAGAATTATATTATTTAATTTAATCATATTCATAATATCATTTTATCATATTTTATCATAATCTTATCAAACATATTCATTAAGTAGTAAAGTAAATATTTAAGTGAAATTGTGGTAACAATTACAATATGGAAATATCCTTTTAATATTTGATACTATAATGCATTTTATTACAAATTTTCAAGCTCTCTCTTAACCTCTCTCAACATTACATGTTAGGTTAACTCAATGGTTTTTATTTCCTATCAAAGTTGAAAAAAAATTCAAACTTATTTCTTGAAGTAGAGAAAGATACATATATTTATCATTGAAGCCAACAACAAAATGACAATAATTTAAATCTAAAAAATTAGCAGCATTAATTATTGGCATATATTTTAATTAGCATTAAAATTTTCTTATTTTTGAGGGAAAAAAATCAAACTTGTTTCTTAAACAAAAAAATACATACACAATTAAATCAAAGATGCAAGAATTATAATTTGAAAAAAATAAAAATTAAATGTTTTATCCAAATTTAATGAATAATGATTGGCAAAATATCTCAAATGGAGGAATAATTCTCCAACACTGGCACATAAGCTGATTGTGAGTCCAAAAAATTTACTAGTGTGTCCACTAACTATCCAATAAAATGTCAGTACTCTCAAATTCTCACCCTTTTGTCTATTCCTTGCCAGCTTTTGCCAGCTCCTACGCATCATCATTTGGGTTGGTTCAAATTTTTATTAAAAAAGAAAGATTTGACCACTTGAGCCAAACCACAAAAATACTTCATTTCAATTCAAGCCCTTAATCCTAAACTCCATGCAACAACTTAATAAGCTCACCACGTGTCCCCTAAGCCAACCCAATAACACTTGTCGTCCAAGCAAAGGAAGTAACTCGGTTCCTTCAAAACGACAGTAAGACATAAACATTGTGGCACACAAGTTGGAACGTTCTAGGATGTTGGTTGTTTTTCGTTTGCAACGGTTACTTTTATTTTATTTCTAATTATATATTTTCTCTCTCCCTCCCACAAAATGGCTATTTCTCCGCGAATCCAATATAAACACGAAAAAACTTAAACAAAAATTTTTAAGTAAAATTTGTAAAATTTTTTTATTAAAAATAATTAAATAAAAAATTAAAATTAAAAAATTAAAAAATATTATTATATAAATTAAATTAGATTATAACTCGTATAATACACAAAATATTTTACTTATTTAATACACAAAATATTTTACTTATTTAATATGAATATATATTAATTTATTTTTAAATTATATGCAAAATTTTAAAACTCATAATATATATAAAATTCATATATATTAATTTGTCATAAATAATATTTATTCACCTATAAGATTATGTCAAATAAAAATAAATTATGCCTTTGTTCGAAAAATAAAAAAAATATTATTGAATGATAAATTAAATAATAAAAAGAATATTAACATACTTTCACTCTAGTGATTTTGACTAAACTATTATGCAAAATATGAAAAATGTTAAACAATATGCAAAAAAAAAAGAAAAAAAGAATGTTATTTTTCATAAAAATGAAACTGTAATTATAATAAAATATATATTAAAAAATTATAAATAGAAAATAAATTACAATAATAATAGAATATACATTGAAAAAAGTTACAGAAAAAATAAAAAATTGATGTATAACACATTACATTTGTAGTTTTTAATTTGTAAAAAAATTATTTAGCGGCAATTAAGAATAATATATCATTTTTAAATTAATTTTTTAAAATTTAAGATGGATATAATAATGAATAAAATAATATTAATTTTTTTACATTTATTTGAACTATAAAATTGATAATTAGAGTTCAAATATATAAAATGGTTTTGATGATCTTATTATTTAAAAATTTAAGCTGAAAATTTTTTGAATTTTCAAAATCTTACATAA